GGCACCCATGGGTGGTGGTGGTGATGGGGGGATTGGTGTACAGGGTGTGCTCTGTGAAGCACAGGTTGGTGGCTGTGGGTGTGGGGAAGGGACACGGGGATGGCACCCATGGGTGGGGGGTACGCACGTCAGGATGGCACCCATGGGTGGTGGTGGTGATGGGGGGATTGGTGTACAGGGTGCGCTCCGCGAAGCACAGGTTGGTGGCTGTGGGTGTGGGGAAGGGACACAGGGATGGCACCCATGGGTGTGGGGCAGGGACGTCAGGATGGCACCCATGGGTGGGGGGATTGGTGTACAGGGTGCCCTCCGTGAAGCACAGGTTGGTGGCTGTGGGTGCGGGGAAGGGACGCAGGGATGGCACCCATGGGTGTGGGGCAGGGACGTGGGGATGGCACCCATGGGTGGGGGGATTGGTGTACAGGGTGCGCTCCGCGAAGCACAGGTTGGTGGCTGTGGGTGCGGGGAAGGGACGCGGGGATGGCACCCATGGGTGGGGGGCAGGGATGTGGGGATGGCACCCATGGGTGGTGGTGGTGATGGGGGGATTGGTGTACAGGGCGCGCTCCGCGAAGCACAGGTTGGTGGCTGTGGGTGTGGGGAAGGGACGTTGGGATGGCACCCATGGGTGGGGGGCATGGCACCCATGGGTGGTGGGGATTTGGTGTACAGGGTGCGCTCCGCGAAGCACAGGTTGGTGGCTGTGGGTGTGGGGAAGGGACGCGGGGATGGCACCCATGGGTGGGGGGCAGGGACGTGGGGATGGCACCCATGGGTGGGGGCAGGTACGTGGGGATGGCACCCATGGGTGGGGCAGGCAGGGATGGCACCCATGGGTGTGGGGCAGGGACGTTGGGATGGCACCCATGGGTGGGGGGATTGGTGTACAGGGTGTGCTCTGTGAAGCACAGGTTGGTGGCTGTGGGTGTGGGGAAGGGACACGGGGATGGCACCCATGGGTGGGGGGTATGCACATCAGGATGGCACCCATGGGTGCGGGGAAGGGACATTGGGATGGCACCCATGGGTGGGGGGATTGGTGTACAGGGTGTGCTCTGTGAAGCACAGGTTGGTGGCTGTGGGTGTGGGGCAGGGACACGGGGATGGCACCCATGGGTGGGGGGATTGGTGTACAGGGCGCGCTCCGCGAAGCACAGGTTGGTGGCTGTGGGTGCGGGGAAGGGACGCGGGGATGGCACCCATGGGTGGGGGGTACACACGTCAGGATGGCACCCATGGGTGGTGGTGGTGGTGGGTGGATTGGTGTACAGGGTGCGCTCCGGAAGGACAGGTTGGTGGCACCCATGGGTGTGGGGAAGGGACACGGGGATGGCACCCATGGGTGGGGGGATTGGTGTACAGGGTGTGCTCTGTGAAGCACAGGTTGGTGGCTGTGGGTGTGGGGAAGGGACGTGGGGATGGCACCCATGGGTGGGGGGCAGGGATGGGGATGGCACCCATGGGTGGGGGGCAGGGACGTGGGGATGGCACCCATGGGTGATGGAGGGATTGGTGTACAGGGCGCGCTCCGCGAAGCACAGGTTGGTGGCTGTGGGTGCGGGGAAGGGACGTGGGGATGGCACCCATGGGTGGGGGGCAGGGATGCAGGGATGGCACCCATGGGTGGGGGGCAGGGACGCGGGGATGGCACCCATGGGTGGGGGGCAGGGACGTCAGGATGGCACCCATGGGTGTGGGGCAGGGACGTGGGGATGGCACCCATGGGTGGGGGGATTGGTGTACAGGGTGCGCTCCGCGAAGCACAGGTTGGTGGCTGTGGGTGTGGGGAAGGGACACAGGGATGGCACCCATGGGTGGGGGGTACGCACGTCAGGATGGCACCCATGGGTGGGGGGATTGGTGTACAGGGTGCGCTCCGCGAAGCACAGGTTGGTGGCTGTGGGTGTGGGGAAGGGACACGGGGATGGCACCCATGGGTGGGGGGATGGCACCCATGGGTGGTGGTGGTGGGGGGATTGGTGTACAGGGTGCGCTCCGCGAAGCACAGGTTGGTGGCTGTGGGTGTGGGGAAGGGACGTCAGGATGGCACCCATGGGTGATGGGGGGATTGGTGTACAGGGTGCGCTCCGCGAAGCACAGGTTGGTGGCTGTGGGTGTGGGGAAGGGACGCGGGGATGGCACCCGTGGGTGTGGGGCAGGCAGGGATGGCACCCATGGGTGTGGGGCAGGGACGTGGGGATGGCACCCATGGGTGGGGGGTGTGGTGTACAGGGTGCACCCATGGGTGGGGCACAGGTTGGTGGCTGTGGGTGCGGGGAAGGGACGTGGGGATGGCACCCACGGGTGGGGGGCAGGCAGGGATGGCACCCATGGGTGGTGGTGGTGGTGGTGGTGGGGGAGCTGCCCTTGGCACCCTGACCCCCACCCACAGCAGCACCCACCTTTGATGATGGACTTCATGTCGCACTTGGAGGAGTCGATGTTGTGCAGCGCCAGCAGGAGCTCGCCGGGGCTCAGAGGGGACACGGCCGAGGAGCCTTCGCCTGCAGTGGGGCAGGGGGGGGGGTTAGGGGTGGGCATAGGGACACCCATAGGGACACCCATGGGGACACCCATGGGGACACCAATGGGACACACAGGCACCCATGGGGACACCAATGGGGACACAGGGGCAGCGATGGGGACACCCATGGGGACACCAATGGGACACCCATGGGGACACAGGGACACCCATAGGGACACCCATGGGGACACAGGGGCAACGATGGGGACACCCATAGGGACACCAATGGGACACAGGGACACCCATAGGGACACCAATGGGACACAGGGACACCCATAGGGACACCCATGGGACACAGGGACACCCATAGGGACACAGGGACACCCATGGGGACACCAATGGGACACCCATAGGGACACCAATGGGACACCCAGACACCCATAGGGACACCAATGGGGACACACGGACACCCATAGGGACACCAATGGGACACAGGAACACCCATAGGGACACCCATGGGGACACCAATGGGACACTGGGACACCCATGGGGACCCCCATAGGGACACCCATGGGGACACAGGGACACCCATGGGACACCCATAGGGACACCCATGGGGACACCAATGGGACACACAGACACCCATGGGGACACCAATGGGACACACAGACACCCATGGGGACACCAATGGGACACCCATAGGGACACAGTGACACCCATAGGGACACCCATGGGGACACCAATGGGACACCCATAGGGACACAGTGACACCCATAGGGACACCCATGGGGACACCAATGGGATGCAGAGGCACCCATAGGGACACAGGGACACCCATGGGGACACCCATGGGGACACAGGGACACCCATGGGGACACCAATGGGACACCCATAGGGACACCCATGGGACACCCATGGGGACACAGTGACACCCATAGGGACACCCATAGGGACACCCATGTGGACACAGGGACACCCATAGGGACACCCATGGGGACACAGGGGCAGCGATGGGGACACCAATGGGGACACCAATGGGACACCCATAGGGACACCCATGGGGACACAGGGACACCCATAGGGACACCACCCATGGGACACAGGGACACCCATGGGGACACCCATGGGGACACAGGGACACCCATAGGGACACCCATGGGGACACACAGACACCCATAGGGACACCCATGGGGACACAGTGACACCCATGGGACACCCATGGGGACACCCATAGGGACACAGTGACACCCATGGGACACCCATGGGGACACAGTGACACCCATAGGGACACCCATGGGGACACAGTGACACCCATGGGACACCAATGGGACACCCAGACACCCATAGGGACACCAATGGGACACCCATAGGGACACAGTGACACCCATGGGACACCCATAGGGACACAGTGACACCCATGGGACACCCATGTGGACACAGTGACACCCATGGGACACCCATGTGGACACAGGTACAGCGATGGGTGCCCCATCCCACCCCCCATGGCATCCCCACATCGTGTGTCCCCCCCACACCCCGTACCGTGCTGCGTCCCCAGCAGGCGGTTGAAGACCTCCTTGACCACGATGGGGTTGAGCTTGATGAGCTTGGGCAACGCCTGGATCACCTCTTTCTGCACCCAAACACGGTGGGGCCACGGTGAGGACCCAACCTCGGCCGTGGGGCTCACTTATGGGGCTGGAACCCCCATTGAACGGGACCCACTGACCTTCTCCAAGCCATTGAGCACAGGGATGAGGAACCTCACATCTGGTAAGCGTTTGTGATACAGATCCCGGACCCTCTTGACCAGCTCCGGAGATGGGGGCACTGCGAGGATGTGGGGCGATGGCAGCGTGGGGGTGATGCTAACTTATGGGGCAGCCCCATTTACATCCCGTTATGGGTCCATGCGCCCCATTACCTTTGTCAGTGAGGCTGTGCAGGCACCGCGTCACCAAGGTCTCAGCTCCTTTGGGGCAGTTCTCCACCAACAACAGCAGCTCGGGGGAGTTCATCCCCATAGCTCGGATCTATGGGGAGCAATGAGATCACTTAGGGGGCGGTTGGCCCCATAGCGACTCTGCCCCATTGATGTCACCCTATATGGGGCTCACGGGTTGCTCGATGACCCGAAGCACCGTCCTCTTGATGTCGGCGATGGCCTCGGTGTAGACGGAGGCCAGCTCGTGGATGAGCTTGTGGTTGTGGGGCAGGAGGGCCAGGTAGAGGTAGAGGCACTGCTTGATGGTCTCCTCCGTCCACGGCGCCGCCACCTCTGGTGTAAGAGAGGGGGTGAGACCCATAGCGGGGGGGATTGAGACCCATAGCGGGGGGGATTGAGCCCCATGGAGGTGGGGATTGAGCCCCATAGCGGGGGGGATTGAGCCCCATAGCGGGGGGGATTGAGCCCCATGGAGGTGGGGATTGAGCCCCATGGAGGTGGGGATCGAGCCCCATGGCGGGGGGGATCCCAGCCCCAGCAGGTGGGGATTGAGCCCCATGCATCTCCCAAGAGACCCATGCATCCCCCATGGAGGTGGGGACCCCACAGCATCTCCCAAACCCCACAGCGATGAGCTCCCAAACCCCACAGCATCTCCCAAACCCCACAGCATCTCCCATTGAACCCATAGCGGGGGGGATCTCCCAATTGACCCCATGGCAGCATCTGAGACCCAAGGTGGGGACCCCACAGCATCTCCCAAACCCCACAGCGATGGCTCCCAAACCCCACAGCGATGGCTCCAAGCCCCACAGCATCTCCCAAACCCCACGGTGGGTACCAAACCCCACAGCATCTCCCAAACCCCACAGCATCTCCCAAACCCCACAGCATCTCCCAAACCCCACAGCATCTCCCAAACCCCACAGCATCTCCCAAACCCCACAGCATCTCCCATGGCTCCCCAAACCCCACAGCATCTCCCAAACCCCACAGCGATGGGGATCCCAAACCCCACAGCGATGGCTCCCATAGCGATGGCTCCAAACCCCACAGCATCTCCCAAACCCCACAGCGATGGATTGAGCCCCATAGCGATCCCAAACCCATAGCATCTCCCAAACCCCACGGGGGGTAGCGATGACTCCCAAACCCCACAGCATCTCCCAAACCCCACAGCGATGGCTGAAACCCCACAGCGATGGCCCCATGGCGGGGGGGAACCCCACAGCATCCCCAAACCCCACAGATGGCTCCAAACCCCACAGCATCTCCCAAACCCCACAGCGATGGGGGAAACCCCACAGCATCTCCCAAACCCCACAGCATCTCCCAAACCCCATGGTGGGTACAGCGATGGCTCCCCCAAACCCCACAGCATCTCCCAAACCCCCATGGTGGGTACCAAACCCCTCAGCGATGACTCCCAAACCCCACAGCATCTCCCAAACCCCACAGCATCTCCCAAACCCCACAGCATCCCCCAAACCCCACAGCGATGGCTCCAAACCCCACAGCATCTCCCAAACCCCACAGCATCTCCCAAACCCCACAGCGATGACTCCCAAACCCCACAGCATCTCCCAAACCCCACAGCATCTCCCAAACCCCACAGCGATGGCTCCCAAACCCCACAGCATCTCCCAAACCCCACAGCATCTCCCAAACCCCACAGCATCTCCCAAACCCCACAGCATCTCCCAAACCCCACAGCGATGGCTCCCAAACCCCACAGCATCTCCCAAACCCCACAGCATCTCCCCCCAAACCCCACCCCACAGCATCTCCCAAACCCCACAGCATCTCCCAAACCCCACAGCATCCCCCAAACCCCACAGCATCTCCCAAACCCCACAGCGATGGCTCCAAACCCCACAGCATCTCCCAAACCCCACAGCATCTCCCAAACCCCACAGCATCTCCCAAACCCCACAGCATCTCCCAAGCCCCACAGCATCTCCCAAACCCCACAGCAGCTCCCAAACCCCACAGCGATGGCTCCCAAACCCCACAGCATCTCCCAAACCCCACAGCATCTCCCAAACCCCACAGCATCTCCCAAACCCCACAGCATCTCCCAAACCCCACAGCATCTCCCAAACCCCACAGCATCTCCCAAACCCCACAGCATCTCCCAAACCCCACAGCATCTCCCAAACCCCATGGTGGGTACCAAACCCCACAGCGATGACTCCCAAGCCCCACAGCATCTCCCAAACCCCACAGCATCTCCCAAACCCCACAGCGATGGCTCCAAACCCCACAGCATCTCCCAAACCCCACAGCATCTCCCAAACCCCACAGCATCTCCCAAACCCCACAGCGATGACTCCCAAGCCCCACAGCATCTCCCAAGCCCCACAGCAGCTCCCAAACCCCATGGTGGGTACCAAGCCCCACAGCAGCTCCCAAACCCCACAGCATCTCCCAAACCCCACAGCATCTCCCAAGCCCCACAGCATCTCCCAAACCCCACAGCATCTCCCAAGCCCCACAGCATCTCCAAACCCCACAGCATCTCCCAAACTCCACAGCATCTCCAAACCCCACAGCATCCCCCAAACCCCACAGCGATGACTCCAAACCCCACAGCATCTCCCAAACCCCACAGCATCTCCCAAACCCCACAGCATCTCCCAAACCCCACAGCATCTCCCAAGCCCCACAGCAGCTCCCAAACCCCACAGCGATGACTCCCAAGCCCCACAGCATCCCCCAAACCCCACAGCGATGACTCCAAACCCCACAGCATCTCCCAAACCCCACAGCATCTCCCAAACCCCACAGCATCTCCCAAACCCCACAGCATCTCCCAAACCCCACAGCATCTCCCAAACCCCATGGTGGGTACCAAACCCCACAGCGATGGCTCCAAGCCCCACAGCATCCCCCAAACCCCCCATCCGACCCTCACCCGTGTCCTTGTCGGCCCCAAAGAGCACGGAGGGCGGGTTGGGGTGCACGAGGAGCTGCAGGTAGTTGAGGGCGAACTTCTCGACGTACTCACGGAGCTGATCCTTCTCGTACATGCGCTTGATGAAGAGCAGCGCCTGCTGTCGGACCTATGGGGCAGGCGCCTGTTCGTCAGCACCGTGGGGTTCTATGGGGCGCTATGGGGCGCGCTATGGGGCGCTATGGGGCACGGGACCTTGTCCTTCTCGTGGGAGCTGAGGTCCAGCAGCACGTGCAGGTACTGGAACTGCCTCGATGGACGCTTGAAGATGAGGTCCCGCAGCGTGGACATGCCCAGGTACGTGCGGCTCTGCAGGGGTGCGGGCAGAAGGGAGAGGTTGGGGTTCATGGACCCATAGCACAGAGACCACATCCCATAGACCACATCCCATAGACCACATCCCACATCCCCACATCCCATACTCCATATCCCATGCCCCATATCCCACATCCCATACCCTATACCCCACACCCCACACCCCATATCCCATACTCCATATCTCATACCCCACACCCCATATCCCATAACCCATATCCCACACCCCACACCCCATATCCCATATCCCATACCCCATATCCCATACCCCACATGCCATACCCCACACCCCATACCCCACATCCCATACCCCATACCCCATATCCCATATCCCACACCCCATACCCCATATCCCATACCCCACATCCCATATCCCACATCCCATACCCCACATCCCATACCCCATATCCCACATCCCACACCCCATATCCCATATCCCACATCCCATATCCCATATCCCATACCCCATACCCCACATCCCATATCCCATACCCCACACCCCATATCCCACACCCCATATCCCATATCCCATACCCATATCCCATATCCCATACCCCACACCCCATATCCCATATCCCATATCCCACACCCCATACCCCACACCCCATACCCCATATCCCATACCCCACATCCCACATCCCATACACCATACCCCATATCCCACATCCCATACTCCATATCTCATGCCCCATATCCCACATCCCATACCCCATACCCCACACCCCACACCCCATATCCCATATCCCATACCCCACACCCCATATCCCATAACCCATATCCCACACACCCCACACCCACACCCCACACCCCATCCCATACCCCACACCCCACCCCATATCCCACCTCATCCTCGCAGTACTTGCGGATCACTTCCAGTGCGCTCTCGGTGATGAGCGGCGCCTCCAGCACTACTTTGGTGAAGATCCTGCAGGGAAGCAGCCATCCTTGGGGTCCCCACCCCATCCTTGGGGTCCCCATCCCATTCCCAGTGTCCCCATCCCATCCTTGGGGTCCCCATCCCATCCTTGGGGTCCCCATCCCATCCCTGGGGTCCCCACCCCATCCTTGGGGTCCCCATTCCATTCCCAGTGTCCCCATCCCATCCTTGGGGTCCCCATCCCACCCCTGGGGTCCCCATCCCATCCTTGGGGTCCCCATCCCATCCTTGGGGTCCCCATCCCATTCCCAGTGTCCCCATCCCATCCTTGGGGTCCCCATCCCATCCTTGGGGTCCCCATCCCATTCCCAGTGTCCCCATCCCATCCTTGGGGTCCCCATCCCATCCTTGGGGTCCCCATCCCATCCCTGGGGTCCATATCCCATCCTTGAGGTCCCCATCCCATCCCTGGGGTCCCCATCCCATCCATGGGGTCCCCATCCCATCCATGGGGTCCCCATCCCATCCCTGGGGTCCCCATCCCATTCCCAGTGTCCCCGACCCATCCCTGGGGTCCCCATCCCATCCCTGGGGTCCCCATCCCATTCCCGGTGTCCCCATCCCATCCCTGGGGTCCCCATCCCATTCCCAGTGTCCCCATCCCATCCTTGGGGTCCCCATCCCATTCCCAGTGTCCCCATCCCATCCCTGGGGTCCCCATCCCATCCCCGGGGTTCCCATACCATTCCCAGTGTCCCCATCCCATCCTTGGGGTCCCCATCCCATTCCCAGTGTCCCCATCCCATCCCTGGGGTCCCCATCCCATTCCCAGTGTCCCCATCCCATCCCTGGGGTCCCCATCCCATTCCCAGTGTCCCCATCCCATCCCTGGGGTCCCCATCCCATTCCCAGTGTCCCCATCCCATCCTTGGGGTCCCCATCCCATCCCTGGGGTCCCCATCCCATCCCCGGGGTCCCCATCCCATCCCTGGGGTCCCCATCCCAGCCATGGGGTCTCCATCGCATTCCCAGTGTCCCCATCCCATCCCTGGGGTCCCCATCCCATCCCTGTGGTCCCCATCCCATCCCTGTGGTCCCCATCCCATCCATGGGGTCCCCATCCCATCCATGGGGTCCCCATCCCATCCATGGGGTCCCCATCACATCCCGTCCATGGGGTCCCCACCCCATTCCCAGTGTCCCCATCCCATCCTTGGGGTCCCCATCCCATCCTTGGGGTCCCCATCCCATCCTTGAGGTCCCCATCCCATTCCCAGTGTCCCCATCCCATCCTTGGGGTCACCATCCCATCCCTGGGGTCCCCATCCCATTCCCAGTGTCCCCATCCCATCCCTGGGGTCCCCATCCCATTCCCAGTGTCCCCATCCCATCCCTGGCATCCCCCTCCCATCCCCATCTCCCCATCCCTGCTGTTCCCATCCCATCCCCATCTCCCCATCCCTGCTGTTCCCATCCCATCCCCATCTCCCCATCCCTGCTGTTCCCATCCCATTCCCCGTGTCCCCCTCCCATCCCCATCTCCCCATCCCTGGTGTCCCCCTCCCATTCCCCTCTCCCCACCCCTGGTGTTCCCATCCCATTCCCCTGTCCCCCTCCCATCCCCATCTCCCCACCCCTGGTGTCCCCCTCCCATCCCTGGCATCCCCCTCCCATTCCCCTGTCCCCATCCCTGGGGTCCCCATCCCATTCCCATCTCTCCATCCCTGTCACGCCCCTCCCATCCCCATCTCTCCATCCCTGTCACCCCCCTCCCATTCCCATCACTCCATCCCTGGCATCCCCCTCCCATCCCCATCTCCCCACCCCTGGCACCCCCCTCCCATTCCCCTGTCCCCATCCCTGGGGTCCCCCTCCCATTCCCCTCTCCCCATCCCTGCTGTTCCCATCCCATTCCCCGTATCCCCCTCCCAATCCCATCTCTCCATCCCTGGCATCCCCCTCCCATTCTCCTGTCCCCATCCCTGCTGTTCCCATCCCATCCCCATCTCCCCATCCCTGCTGTTCCCATCCCATTCCCAGTGTCCCCCTCCTATTCCCATCTCCCCATTCCCCTCTCCCCCTCCCATCCCCATCTCCCCATCCCTGGTGTCCCCCTCCCATTCCCAGTGTCCCCATCCCTGGCATCCCCCTCCCATTCCCCCTGTCCCCCCCGTTATCCGCACCCATCCTTCTGGTCGGGTTTCTCCTGCAGCCCGGCCAGCAGCCCGATGAGGCACTGCTCGTAGCGCTCCAGGTTTCCCTCCGGGAAGCGGCTCAGGTGGGAATTGTACTCCTGGAAGAGCCAGGCGAAGGCCAGGTCCAGGCGGGAGCGGACGTCCTCCAGGATGAAGGCCAGGACCTCGCTCTTGAGGGGCACCTCCAAGTGCGTCACCAGCGACGCCAAGATCTTCACCCGGGCCTGGCCAAGGGGATATCAGCGTCACCGGTACCCAGAGTGTCACCGGAACCCAGAGCATCACCGGTACCCAGAGCATCACCGGTACCCAGAGCATCACCGGAACCCAGAGCATCACCGGTAGCCAGAGCATCACTGGTACCCACAGCATCACTGGTACCCACAGCATCACCGGTACCCAGAGCATCACCGGTACCCAGAGCATCACTGGTACCCACAGCATCACCAGTAGCCACAGCATCACCGGTACCCACAGCGTCACTGGTACCCAGAGCATCACCGGTAGCCAGAGCGTCACCGGTACCCACAGCGTCACCGGTACCCGGAGCATCACCGGTACCCGGAGCGTCACCGGTACCCACAGCGTCACCGGTACCCACAGCGTCACCGGTACCCAGAGCGTCACCGGTACCCAGAGAGTCACCGGTACCCACAGCATCACCGGTAGCCAGAGCATCACCGGTACCCAGAGAGTCACCGGTACCCACAGCATCACCGGTACCCAGAGCATCACCGGTACCCAGAGCGTCACCGGTACCCAGAGCATCACCGGTACCCAGAGCGTCACTGGTACCCAGAGCGTCACCGGTACCCACAGCATCACCGGTACCCGGAGCGTCACTGGTACCTGGAGCATCACCGGTACCCAGAGCGTCACCGGTACCCACGGCATCACCGGTACCCAGAGCATCATCGGTACCCAGAGCATCACCGGTACCCAGAGCATCACCAGTACCCACAGAGTCACTGGTACCCAGAGCATCACTGGTACCCACAGCATCACCGGTACCCAAAGCATCAGCAGTACCCACAGCATCACCGGTACCCGCAGCATCACCGGTACCCAGAGCGTCACCGGTACCCAGAGCGTCACCGGTACCCAGAGCGTCACCGGTACCCACAGCGTCACCGGTACCCACAGCGTCACCGGTACCCAAAGCATCACCGGTACCCAGAGCGTCACCGGTACCCAGAGCATCACCGGTACCCAGAGTGTCACCAGCACCCACAGCCTCCAGGCACAGGGTCTGGGTGCCACACGGTGGGTGCCACATGGAAGGGTGACAGAGACTGCGCACAACAGATGGAAGGGTGACACAGCTCTGGGTGACGTGTGGAGGGTGCCAAGAGATTTGGTGACAAGAGGGTCTGGGTGACACCCGGAAAGGTGACACCAGACGCTGTGGGTGCCACACTCGGTGCCACATTGCGCCCCACATTAGGTGCCACACTGGGTGCCACAGTGGGTGCCACACCGGGTGCCACACCGGGTGCCACATTGGGTGCCACGTTGGGTGCCACATTAGGTGCCACACTGGGTGCCACGCTGGGTGCCACATTGGGTGCCACATTTGGTGCCACACTGGGTGCCACATTGGGTGCCACACCGGGTGCCACATTGGGTGCCACATTGGGTGCCACACTGGGTGCCACATTGGGTGCCACACTGGGTGCCACACTGGGTGCCACATTGGGTGCCACGTTGGGTGCCACACCGGGTGCCACACTGGGCGCCACATTGGGTGCCACACCGGGTGCCACACCGGGTGCCACATTGCGTGCCACACTGGGTGCCACACTGGGTGCCACATTGGGCGCCACATTGGGTGCCACATTGGTTGCCACATTGGGTGCCACACTGGGTGCCACATTGGGTGCCCTATTGGGTGACACACTGGGTGCCACACTGGGTGCCACACCGGGCGCCACATTGGGTGCCACACCGGGTGCCACACTGGGTGCCACACTGGGTGCCACACTGGGTGCCACATTGGCTGCCACATTTGGTGCCACACTGGGTGCCACACTGGGTGCCACACCGGGCGCCACATTGGGTGCCACACCGGGTGCCACACCGGGTGCCACACTGGGTGCCACACTGGGTGCCACATTGGGTACCACATTAGGTGCCACACTGGGTGCCACACTGGGTGCCACATTTGGTGCCACACCGGGTGCCACATTGGGCCCCACATTAGGTGCCACACTGGGTGCCACAGTGGGTGCCACACCGGGTGCCACACCGGGTGCCACACCGGGTGCCACACTGGGTGCCACACTGGCTGCCACGCTGGGTGCCACGCTGGGTGCCACACTGGGTGCCACATTGAGTACCACATTAGGTGCCACACTGGGTGCCACATTAGGTGCCACACTGGGTGCCACACTGGGTGCCACATTGGGCCCCACATTAGGTGCCACACCGGGTGCCACATTAGGTGCCACACCGGGTGCCACACCGGGTGCCACACCGGGTGCCACATTGGGCCCCACATTAGGTGCCACACCGGGTGCCATGCTGGGTGCCACACCGGGCGCCACATTGAGTACCACACTGGGTGCCACACTGGGCGCCACATTGAGTACCACACTGGGTGCCACACTGGGTGCCACATTAGGTGCCACACTGGGTGCCACACTGGCTGCCACACTGGGTGCCACATTGGGCCCCACATTAGGTGCCACACCGGGTGCCACACCGGGTGCCACATTGGGTGCCAGGTTACCTGCGCAGCCCCGCTGCAGGCCACGGCGCGCTCTGCCCTCAGGATGCGCTTGACGGCGCCGAGCTTCAACTTCTCCACCTGGGTCTCAGTGAGGGGCTTGAGGACGTCAGCCAGGCGGAAAACCTTCTTCCTGCCCCCAGCACCCACCAGCCTAAAGGGGAGGTGGGTGAAACAGAGACCCCATGGGTGAGGCACGGCTCCAGCAGCACCCATGGGTGCTCCCGGCGCGGCGCTCACCGCGGCTGCGGCGCGGGGATGATGGGCTCCGGGCGTCGTTTGGTCTGGGGGGCTTCCTCCTCCAGGAGGGTGGTGGCCGAGCCCTGGGCCCCCAGCACGGAGATGGCCTGGCCCTGGGCTAGGGCTGAGAGGCGTCGCTTGATGACCACGCTCTCGGGCTTGGAGGTCTTCTCCTCTTTGGGTTCCTCCTTTAGGTGCTTCGTCTGCTCCACGCCTGGAGAAGGGGACAGGGACAGCAAAGGGAGACTGAGATCTATGGGGATGAGGAGGAGGAGGAGGAGGGGGGGAGCTGCGTGGGCTCAGAGTCATGGATATGGGGGGGAAGGAGGAGGAGATGCTGGCAAAGGGGGTGCCAAGGCAAGAGAAAGCAATCAGGAAGAAGAAAGGGGGACCGAAAGGAAGGCATCGCCGTGCTTCCGAACATATCCATCGCCATGCCCCACACAGCACATGAGATGGGGGTGTCCTGGGACGGGAACCACATGGAGGCAACAGAAGGGGATCGAAGGAAGGGTCTCCCTCATCCCTGAGGCTCCAACTCAACCCTTAACCCATGGGAATGGTCCCAACTCAACCCTTAACCCATGGGAATGGTCCCAACCCAACCCTTAACCCATGGGAATGGTCCCAACACAACCCTTAACCCATGGGAATGGTCCCAACCCAACCCTTAACCCATGGGAATGGTCCCAACCCAACCCTTAACCCATGGGAATGGTCCCAACTCAACCCTTACCCCATGGGAATGGTCCCAACCCAACCCTTAACCCATGGGAATGGTCCCAACCCAACCCTTAACCCATGGGAATGGTCCCAACCCAACCCTTACCCCATGGGAATGGTCCCAACTCAACCCTTACCCCATGGGAATGGTCCCAACTCAACCCTTACCCCATGGGAATGGTCCCAACTCAACCCTTAACCCCCAGGAATGGTCCCAACTCAACCCTTAACCCATGGGAATGGTCCCAACTCAACCCTTACCCCATGGGAATGGTCCCAACCCAACCCTTACCCCATGGGAATGGTCCCAACTCAACCCTTAACCCATGGGAATGGTCCCAACTCAACCCTTACCCCATGGGAATGGTCCCAACTCAACCCTTACCCCATGGGAATGGTCCCAACCCAACCCTTACCCCATGGGAATGGTCCCAACTCAACCCTTACCCCATGGGAATGGTCCCAACTCAACCCTTAACCCATGGGAATGGTCCCAACCCAACCCTTAACCCATGGGAATGGTCCCAACTCAACCCTTACCCCATGGGAATGGTCCCAACTCAACTCAACCCTTAACCCATGGGAATGGTCCCAACTCAACCCTTACCCCATGGGAATGGTCCCAACCCAACCCTTAACCCATGGGAATGGTCCCAACCCAACCCTTAACCCATGGGAATGGTCCCAACCCAACCCTTAACCCATGGGAATGGTCCCAACTCAACCCTTACCCCATGGGAATGGTCCCAACTCAACCCTTAACCCATGGGAATGGTCCCAACTCAACCCTTAACCCATGGGAATGGTCCCAACCCAACCCTTACCCCATGGGAATGGTCCCAACTCAACCCTTAACCCATGGGAATGGTCCCAACCCAACCCTTAACCCATGGGAATGGTCCCAACTCAACCCTTAACCCATGGGAATGGTCCCAACTCAACCCTTACCCCATGGGAATGGTCCCAACCCAACCCTTAACCCATGGGAATGGTCCCAACTCAACCCTTAACCCATGGGAATGGTCCCAACCCAACCCTTACCCCATGGGAATGGTCCCAACCCAACCCTTAACCCATGGGAATGGTCCCAACCCAACCCTTAACCCCCAGGAACGGTCCCAACTTGACCTCAGGATGGGGTTTTGGTGCCCCCCACATCCCTGGCAGCACCCACCTGGCCCCAGCCCCGCCGCTGTCATCTGGGTGGCCATGAGCCTGGCCAAGTGCTTGATCTGCACCTCGGTGCCCGCCGACTCCACCGGGGTGTAGGTGGCCTGGAAGGAGGCGGGCATGGCCTCGGGCAGGTACACCATGCTGATGAGCACCTATAGAGGGGGACACACGGTGTCAGAGCCCCCCTAGAGCAGCAGAACCAGCCCCACACATTGACCCCATGGGCTCACCAAGTTGGCCACGTTCTCTGGGGTGAGCAGGGGCTGAAGGAACTCGGCCGTGATGTCCGTGTCCGAGGGGACCCCGCTTTGACCAGGGGCCTTGGGCACCGTCACCGGGGTCACCTCTAGGTCCTTGTCCTCATCGTCCTCGGGGGGCTCTGGAGGGACAGGGCTCAGGGTTCCAAGGGGGTCCCTCAAGGGGACAGCGTGGAGGGAAGGGGGAAGGCTCCAATGGGGCATCAATGGGCACCAGGAGGGCACTGGAGGACCCTGATGGGCACCAAGAGGACCCTGATGGGCACCAAGAGGACCCTGATGGGCACCAGAAGCACCCAAGGGGTCCCCGAAGGGAGCTGGGAGGACCCTGATGGGCACTGGAGGACCTTGATGAGCACCAGGAGGACCCTGATGGGCACCAAAATGACCAAGGGGTCCCCAGAAGGGCACTGAAGGCACCTGATGGGCACCAGGGGCCTCTGATGGGCACCAAGAGGACCCTGATGGACACCAGGAGGGCACTGGAAGCCATTGATGGACACCAGGAGGACCTGAGGGGTCCCCAGAGGGAGGTGGGAGGACCCTGATGGCCACCAGGATGACTCTGATGGGCACCAAGAGGGCACCAGAAGGACCCTGATGGGCACCAAGAGGGCACCAGGAAGCCCTTGCTGGGCACCAAGAGGGCACCAGAAAGACCCTGATGGGCACCAGGATGACTCTGATGGGCACCAAGAGGGCACCAGAAGGACCCTGATGGGCACCAAGAGGGCACCAGGAAGCCCTTGCTGGGCACCAAGAGGGCACCAGAAAGACCCTGATGGGCACCAGGATGACTCTGATGGGCACCAAGAGGGCACCAGAAGGATCCTGATGGGCACCAAGAGGACCCTGATGGGCACCAAGAGGACCCTGATGGGCACCAGAAGCACCCAAAGGGTCCCCGAAGGGAGCTGGGAGGACCCTGATGGGCACTGGAGGCACCTGATGGGCACCAAGAGGACACCAGGACACTGGAGACCCCCGATAGGCACCAAGAGGACCCTGATGGGCACCAGAAGGCCCCTGATGGGCACCAAGAGGGCACCAGAAGGACCCTGATGGGCACCAGGAGGGCCCTGATGGGCACCAAGAGGGCACCAGAAGGATCCTGATGGGCACCAAGAGGACCCTGATGGGCACCAGGAGGGCCCTGATGGGCACCAAGAAGGCCCCAGAAGGACCCTGATGGGCACCAGGAGGACACTGGAGACCCCCTGATGGGCACCAAGAGGGCACCAGGACCCTGATGGGCACCAAAGCCCTTGCTGGGCACCAGAAGGACCCTGATGGGCACCAAGAGGGCCCCAGGAGGCCCCTGATGGGCACCAAAAGGGCACCAGCACCCTGATGGGCACCAAGAGGGCCCCAGAAGGACCCTGATGGGCACCAGGAGGACCCTGATGGGCACCAAGAGGGCACCAGAAGGACCCTGATGGGCACCAGGAGGACCCTGATGGGCACCAAGAGGGCACCAGAAGGACCCTGATGGGCACAAAGAGGACCCTGATGGGCACCAAAGCCCTTGCTGGGCATCAAAATGGCACCAGAAGGACCCTGATGGGCACCAGGAAGCCCTTGCTGGGCACCAAGAGGGCACCAGGACCCTGATGGGCACCAAAGCCCTTGCTGGGCACCAGAAGGACCCTGATGGGCACCAAGAGGACCCTGATGGGCACCAAGAGGACCCTGATGGGCACCAAGAGGACACTGAAGATCCCCTGATGGGCACCAAGAGGACCCTGATGGGTACCAGAAGGACCCTGATGGGCACCAAGAGGGCACCAGAAGGACCCTGATGCGCACCAGAAGGACCCTGATGGGCACCAAGAGGGCACCAGAAGGACCCTGATGGGCACCAGAAGGACCCTGATGGGCACCAAGAGGGCACCAGAAGGACCCTGATGGGCACCAAGAGGACACTGAAGATCCCCTGATGGGCACCAAGAGGACCCTGGTGGGCACCAGGAGGACCCTGATGGGCACCAAGAAGGCACCAGGAGGACCCTGATGGGCACCAAGAGGACACTGAAGATCCCCTGATGGGCATCAAGAGGGCACAAGGAGGACCCTGATGGGCACCAGGAGGACACTGGAGACCCCCTGATGGGCACCAAGAGGGCACCAGGAGGACCCTGATGGGCACCAAGAGGACCCTGATGGGCAGCAGGAGGACACTGAAGATCCCCTGATGGGCACCAAGAGGGCCCCAGAAGGACCCTGAATGGCACCAGGGGGACCCTGATGGGCACCAAGAGGGCACCCAGGAGGCCCCTGACCCAGGGGGACCCTGATGGGCACCAGGAGGGCCCTGATGGGCCCCAAGAGGGTCCCAGGATGGGCACCAAGAGGGCACCAGAAGGACCCTGATGGGCACCAAGAGGGCACCAGGAGGCCCCTGATGGGCACCAAAAGGGCACCAGGACCCGTATGGGCACCAAGAGGACCCTGATGGGCACCAGGAGGACCCTGATGGGCACCAAGAAGGCCCCAGAAGGACCCTGATGGGCACCAGGAGGACACTGGAGACCCCCTGATGGGCACCAAGAGGGCCCCAGGAGGCCCCTGATGGGCACCAAAAGGGCACCAGGACCCTGATGGGCACCAAGAGGGCACCAGGAGGACCCTGATGGGCACCAGGAGGACACTGGAGACCCCCTGATGGGCACCAAGAGGACACTGAAGATCCCCTGATGGGCACCAAGAGGGCCCCAGAAGGACCCTGAATGGCACCAGGGGGACCCTGATGGGCACCAAGAGGGCCCCAGGAGGACCCTGATGGGCACCAAGGGGACACTGGCCCCAGGGCACCAGACCCTGATGGGCACCAAGAGGGCACCAGAAGGACCCTGATGGGCACCAGAAGGCCCCTGATGGGCACCAAGAGGGCACCAGAAGGACCCTGATGGGCACCAAGAAGGCCCCAGAAGGACCCTGACCAAGATCCCCTGATGGGCACCAAGAGGACCCTGCTGGGCACCAGGAGGCCCCTGATGGGCACCAAGAAGGCCCCAGAAGGACCCTGATGGGCACCAGATGGGCACCAAGACACTGGAGACCCTGATGGGCACCAAGAGGACCCTGATGGGCAGCAGGAGGACACTGAAGATCCCCTGATGGGCACCAAGAGGGCCCCAGAAGGACCCTGAATGGCACCAGGAGGCCCCTGATGGGCACCAAAAGGCCCCTGATGGGCACCAGGGGGACCCTGATGGGCACCAAGAGGGCCCCAGGAGGCCCCTGATGGGCACCAGGGGGACCCTGATGGGCACCAGGAGGGCCCTGATGGGCACCAAGAGGGTCCCAGGAGGCCCCTGATGGGCACCAAAAGGGCACCAGGACCCTGATGGGCACCAAGAGGGCACCAGAAGGACCCTGATGGGCACCAAGAGGGCACTGAAGATCCCCTGATGGGCACCAAGAGGACCCTGATGGGCACCAGGAGGACCCTGATGGGCACCAAGAAGGCCCCAGAAGGACCCTGATGGGCACCAGGAGGACACTGGAGACCCCCTGATGGGCACCAAGAGGGCCCCAGGAGGCCCCTGATGGGCACCAAAAGGGCACCAGGACCCTGATGGGCACCAAGAGGGCACCAGGAGGACCCTGATGGGCACCAGGAGGACACTGGAGACCCCCTGATGGGCACCAAGAGGACACTGAAGATCCCCTGATGGGCACCAAGAGGGCCCCAGGAGGACCCTGATGGGCACCAGGGGGACCCTGATGGGCACCAAGAGGGCCCCAGGAGGACCCTGATGGGCACCAAGGGGACACTGAAGATCCCCTGATGGGCACCAGAAGGCCCCTGATGGGCACCAAGAGGGCACCAGAAGGACCCTGATGGGCACCAGAAGGCCCCTGATGGGCACCAAGAGGGCACCAGAAGGACCCTGATGGGCACCAAGAAGGCCCCAGAAGGACCCTGATGGGCACCAAGAGGGCACTGAAGATCCCCTGATGGGCACCAAGAGGACCCTGATGGGCACCAAGAAGGCACCAGAAGGTTCCTGATGGGCACCAAGAGGGCACCAGGACCCTGATGGGCACCAAGAGGTCCCCAGGAGGACCCTGATGGGCACCAGGGGGACCCTGATGAGCACCAAGAGGTCCCCAGGTGCCCCCATTGCTCTCCCCCCCCAACTTTCCTCACCTATCTTCATCTTCTTGAGGGCGGCGTCGGGCTCGTCGCGGGGCCGCTTGCGGGCGTCCCTGGGGCTGGGCATGCTGCGGGCGATCTCGGCCTGCTGGGTGCCCAGGTCCACGAGCAGGGTGGTGATCTGGGGCTGGAAGTCCCCCGAGGACGGGTGCCGCAGGATGCTCAGCAGGTGAAGCTTCAGGTTCTTACGCACGCTGCTCACCTGAGACTTGGCCAGCGTGGGGGGCAGGTTGGCTGCGAGGGGGGCAAGAGGGTCCAGGCTCCATCCCCGTGGGGGCCATAGGGCTCCATCCCCATGGGGCTCTGTGTCCCATCCCCATAGTACATCACACTTCATCCCCATAGGGCTCCATCCCCATGGGGCTCCATGTCCCATCCCCATAGGGCTCCACACTCCATCCCCATGGATCCATGCTCCATCCCCATGGGGGCCATAGGGCTCCATCCCCATAGGGCTCCATGTCCCATCCCCATAGGGCTCCACACTCCATCCCCATGGGGGCCATAGGGCTCCATCCCCATAGGGCTCCATCCCCATAGGGCTCCATGTCCCATCCCCATAGGACACCACATTTCATCCCCATGAGGATCCATGCTCCATCCCCATAGGGCTCCATGCTCCATCCCCATAGGGCTCCATCCCCATAGGGCTCCATCCCCATAGGACACCACATTTCATCCCCATAGGGCTCCATGCTCCATCCCCATAGGGCTCCATGCTCCATCCCCATAGGGCTCCACACCCCATCCCCATGGGGCTCCACACCCCATCCCCATGGGGCTCCATACCCCATCCCCATAAGTCTCCATACCCCATCCCCATAGAGCTCCACACCCCATCCCCATGGGGCTCCATCCCCGTGGGGCTCCATGCCCCATCCCCGTGGGGCTCCATCCCCGTGGGGCTCCATGCCCCATAGCCGTGGGGCTCCACACCCCATCCCCGTGGGGCTCCATCCCCACGGGGCTCCATACCCCATCCCCATAGAGCTCCACACCCCATCCCCATGGGGCTCCATCCCCATAGAGCTCCACACCCCATCCCCGTGTGCCTCCATCCCCGCGGGGCTCCGTGCCCCACAGCCGTGGGGCTGGGGCTCACCGTGCAGGGTCTCGTAGGCCTGGATGACCTCGGCCATGAAGATGGGTCTCTGCCTGGCGATGGTGGCCAAGGAGCCGAGCGCGGCCGTGAGGTTGATGCTGGAGATGGCCGGGTGCACCATGAACTTGAGGAGCTGCTCCAGGGCCGCCCTGCCCTCCTCCCACAGCGCCGCTGCACGGACACACAGCACGTGGGGCACCAGCAGCACCCAATGGGGTGGTGGGGGGGGGGACAGAGGGACCCTCAGGGTGCTGGGAGGATCCTGAGGGGCACTAAAGGGATCCTGAGGGGCACCAGGAGGACCTGAGGGGTCCTTAAAGGGCGTTGGGAGGACCTGAGGGGCACTAAAGGGACCCTGAGGGGCATTAAAGGGATCCTGAGGGGCACCTGAAGGACCTGAGGGGTCCTTAAAGGGTGCTGGGAGGACCCTGATGGGCACCAGAGGGGAGCTGGGAGGACCCTGATGGGCACTAAAGGGATCCTGAGGGGCACCAGGAGGATCTGAGGGGCATTAAAGGGTGCTGGGAGGACCCTGATGGGCACCTGAAGGACCTAAGGGGTCCCTAAAGGGTGCTGGGAGGACCCTGATGGGCACTAAAGGGATCCTGATGGGCACCAGGAGGACCTGAGGGGTCCTTAAAGGGTGCTGGGAGGACCCTGATGGGCACCAAGAGAATCTTGATGGGTCCCTAAAGGGTGCTGGGAGGACCTTGATGGGTCCCTAAATGGTGCTGGGAGGCCCCTGATGGACACCAAGAGGACCTTGATGCGTCCCTAAAGGGTGCTGAGAGGCCTTTGATGGACACCAAGAGGACCTTGATGGGTCCCTAAGGGGTGCTGGGAGGACCCTGATGGGTCCCTAAAGGGTGCTGGGAGGACCCTGATGGGTCCCTAAAGGGTGCTGGGAGGACCTTGATGGGTCCCTAAAGGGTGCTGAGAGGACCCTGATGGACACCAAGAGGCCCTTGACGGGTCCCTAAAGGGTGCTGGGAGGACCCTGATGGACACCAGGAGGACCTTGATGGGTCCCTAAAGGGTGCTGGGAGGCCCTTGATGGACACCAAGAGGATCTTGATGGGTCCCTAAAAGGTGCTGGGAGGACCCTGATGGACACCAAGAGGACCCTGATGGGTCCCTAAAGGGTTCTGGGAGGACCCTGATGGGTACCAAGAGGACCTTGATGGGTCCCTAAATGGTGCTGGGAGGACCCTGATGGGTCCCTAAAGGGTGCTGGGAGGACCTTGGTGGGTCCCTAAATGGTGCTGGGAGGATCTTGATGGGTCCCTAAAGGGTGCTGGGAGGACCCTGATGGGCATGAGGATGTGAGGGGTCCCCATAGGGAGCTAAGAGGACCCTCGACGGGCACCAGGAGGACGTGAGGGGTCCCCGTAGGGTGCTGGGAGGCCCTTGATGGGTCCCTAAAGGGTGCTGAGAGGACCTTCATGGACACCAAGAGGACCTTGATGGGTCCCTAAAGGGTGCTGGGAGGCCCTTGATGGACACCAAGAGGACCTTGGTGGGTCCCTAAAGGGTGCTGGGAGGCCCTTGATGGGCACCAGGAGGACTTGAGGGGTCCCCATAGGGCGCTGGGAGGCCCTTGATGGACACCAAGAGGCCCTTGATGGGTCCCTAAAGGGTGCTGGGAGGCCCTTGATGGGCACCAAGAGGCCCTTGATGGGTCCCTAAAGGGTGCTGGGAGGACCCTGATGGACACCAAGAGGACGTGAGGGGTCCCCATAGGGCGCTGGGAGGCCCTTGATGGACACCAAGAGGACCTTGATGGGTCCATAAAGGGTGCTGGGAGGCCCTTGATGGACACCAAGAGGACCTTGGTGGGTCCCTAAAGGGTGCTGGGAGGCCCTTGATGGGCACCAGGAGGACTTGAGGGGTCCCCATAGGGCACTGGGAGGCCCTTGATGGACACCAAGAGGACCTTGATGGGTCCATAAAGGGTGCTGGGAGGCCCTTGATGGACACCAAGAGGACCTTGGTGGGTCCCTAAAGGGCGCTGGGAGGCCCTTGATGGGCACCAAGAGGACCTTGATGGGTCCCTAAAGGGTGCTGGGAGGCCCCTGATGGGCACCAGGAGGACCTGAGGGGTCCCCATAGGGCGCTGGGAGGCCCCCCCGGCCCGCACTCACTGTACTTGATGTAGGGGTGGTCCCTGGGCACCTTCTCGAGGCTGATGTCTCCCTCGTGGCGCTTGGGCACGTCGGAGTCGGCGCCGCGGGGCGAGAGGGTGATGATGAGGCCCTCGACGAACTTGATGGCGTGCGTGCGGATGCCGTCGTTGTCCGAGTCGAGCAGGAGCAGGATGTCCGAGGCCATGGAGGTGATGAGCTCCCAGCAGGCCTCCTGCAGCTCGCTCAGCACCCGCGACTTCACCATCCACTGAGCGGGGGGACACGGGGACATCCATGGGGGGTCAATGGCACCCATGGGGGGCAAGGGCACCCAAAGGGGGTCAATGGTATCCAAAGGGGGTCAATGGTATCCAAAGGGGGTCAATGGTACCCACAGGGGGTCAATGGCACCCAAAGGGGGTCAATGGTACTCAAAAGAGGGGCAATGGTATCCAAAGTTGGTCAATGGTACCCAAAGTTGGTCAATGGTACCCAAAGGGCCTCAATGGTATCCAAACGGGGTCAACGGTACCCACAGGGGGTCAATGGTACCCAAAGGGGGTCAATGGTACCCAAAGCGGTTCAATGGTACCCAAAAGGGGTCAATGGTACCCAAAGGGGGTCAAGGGCACCCAAAGGGGGTCAATGGTACCCAAAAGTGGTCAATGGTAACCAAAGGGGGTCAAGGGCACCCAAAGGGGTCAATGGTACCCAATGGGGGTCAATGGTACCCAAAAGGGGTCAATGGTACCCAAAGGGGGTCAATGGTACCCAAAGGGGGTCAATGGTACCCAAAGGGGGTCAATGGTACCCAAAGGGGGTCAATGGTACCCAAAGGGGGTCAAGGGAATCCAAAGGGGGTCAATGGTACCCAAAGGGGGTCAATGGTACCCAAAGGGGGTCAATGGTACCCAAAAGGGGTCAATGGTATCCAAAGTTGGTCAATGGTACCCAAACGGGGTCAATGGTACTCAAAGGGGGTCAATGGTACCCAAAAGGGGTCAAGAGTACCCAAAGTTGGTCAATGGTACCCAAAGGGGGTCAATGGTAGCCACAGGGGGCCAATGGTACCCAAAAGGGGTCAAGAGTACCCAAAGTTGGTCAATGGTATCCAAAGGGGGATCAATGGTATCCAAAGTTGGTCAATGGTACCCAAAAGGGGTCAATGGTACCCAAAGGGGGTCAATGGTACCCAAAGGGGGTCAAGGGAATCCAAAGGGGGTCAATGGTACCCAAACGGGGTCAATGGTACTCAAAGGGGGTCAATGGTACCCAAAAGGGGTCAAGAGTACCCAAAGTTGGTCAATGGTACCCAAAGGGGGTCAATGGTAGCCACAGGGGGCCAATGGTACCCAAAAGGGGTCAAGAGTACCCAAAGTTGGTCAATGGTAGCCAAAGGGGGTCAAGGGCACCCATGGGGGGTCAATGGTATCCAAAAGGGGTCAGCGGCACCCACTGGGGGTGAATGGCACCCAAAGGGGGTCAAGGGCACCCAAAGGGGTCAATGGTACCCAAAGGGGGTCAAAGGAATCCAAAGGGGGTCAATGGTACCCAAAGAGGGTCAATGGTACCCAAAGTTGGTCAATGGTACCCAAAAGGGGTCAATGGCACCAAAAGGGGGTCAATGGTACCCACAGGTGGTCAATGGTACGCAAAGGGGGTCAATGGTATCCAAAGGGGTTCAATGGTATCCAAAGGGGTTCAATGGTACCCAAACGGGGTCAATGGTACCCAAAAGGGGTCAATGGTACCCAAAAGGGGTCAATGGCACCCAAAGGGGGTCAATGGTACCCAAAGGGGATCAATGGTACCCAAAAGGGGTCAATGGTACCCAATGGGGGTCAATGGTACCCAAAAGGGGTCAATGGTACCCAATGGGGGTCAATGGTACCCAAAGGGGATCAATGGTACCCAAAAGGGGTCAATGGTACCCAAAGAGGGTCGATGGTACCCAAACGGAGCCAATGGTACTCAAAGGGGGTCAATGGTACCCAAAGGGGGTCAATGGTACCCAAAGTTGGTCAATGGTACCCAAAGGGGGTCAATGGTATCCAAAAGGGGTAAATGGCACCCAAGGGGGTCAATGGTACTCAAAGGGGGTCAATGGTATCTCAAAAGGGGTCAATGGCACCTAAAGTGGGTCAATGGTACCCAAAGGCAGTCAATGGCACCCAAAGGGGGTCAATGGTACTCAAAAGAGGGGCAATGGTATCCAAAGTTGGTCAACGGTATCCAAAGGGGGTCAATGGTACCCAAAAGGGGTCAAGGGAATCCAAAGGGGGTCAAGGGTACCCAAAGGGGGTCAATGGTATCGAAAAGTGGTAAGTGGCATCCAAAGGGAGTCAATGGTACCCAAAGGGGGTCATTGGTATCCAAAGGAGCTCAATGGTACCCAAAAGGGGTCAATGGTACCCAAAGAGGGTCAATGGTACCCAATGGGGGTCAAGGGTACCCAAAGAGGGTCAATGGTACCCAATGGGGGTCAAGGGTACCCAAAGAGGGTCAATGGTACCCAATGGGGGTCAAGGGTACCCAAAGGGGGTCAATGGCACCCAAAGGTGCCCAACGACCCCCAAAGGTGCCCAACAGCATCCAAAGCTGCTCCCTTCCAGCACCCAACGCTGCTCCTTCGGCACCCAAAGGCCCTCATTCCATCACCCCAATACACCCACGAGCACCCAAAGGAACCCTTAGAAGCAGGCGCAGGGCCCCCCTCCACCACCCAAAGGTGCTCCTCCGAGCACCCACAGCTGCTCCATTGGCATCCAAAGGAGCCCTCGTGGCACCCATGGGCCCCCCCGCTCAGCACCCATGGGTGCTGTACCTGCAGGGCCACCCTGTAGAGCTGGGTCATGGTCAGGATGGCCTTCTTGACCACGTTGACGTTCTCGTCCTTAAGGAGCATGTTGAGGTTGGCGATGAGCTTCAGCAGCAGCTCGATGTCCCGTTTGCTGTGGGGTGGGGTGGGGGGGGAGGTGTGGGTGGGGGGCACCCATGGGTGCTCAGCACCACCCTGGGGTTCCTCCCCCCTCCCCCTTACCAAGCCTCCTCGATGAAGCCCACCACGAACTTGCGCACCTCAATGGATTTGTCCGCTTGGAATGCGATGATCTCCTGGGGGGGGGGGGGGACAGGGTGGAGACATCCCAAACAACCCCCCCCATCCATCCCAACCCCATCCCGGATCCATCCCAACCCCATCCCGGATCCATCCCAACCACCCCAGATCCATCCCAAACCTATCCCAGATCCCTCCCAGCATTCCCAGATCCACCACAAACCTATCCTAGATCCATCCCAACCACCCCAGATCCATCCCAAGCCTATCCCAGATCCAGCAAAACCACCCCAGATCCATCGCAGCATTCCCAGATCCATCGCAGCATTCCCAGATCCATCCCAAACCTATCCCAGATCCATCCCAACCACCCCAGATCCATCCCAACCACCCCAGATCCATCCCAAACCTATCCTAGATCCACCCCAACCACCCCAGATCCATCCCAAACCTATCCTAGATCCACCCCAACCACCCCAGATCCATCCCAACCTCCCCAGATCCATCCCAAACCTATCCCAGATCCCTCCCAGCATTCCCAGATCCATCCCAAACCTATCCTAGATCCACCCCAACCACCCCAGATCCATCCCAAACCTCCCCAGATCCATCCCAACCACCCCAGATCCATCCCAAACCTATCCCAGATCCATCCCAACCTCCCCAGATGCCTCTCAGCATTCCCAGATCCATCTCAAACCTATCCTAGATCCATCCCAACCACCCCAGATCCATCCCAGCATTCCCAGATCCATCCCAATCACATCCCAGATCCATCCCAAACCTATCCCAGATCCATCCCAACCACCCCAGATCCATCCCAACCTCCCCAGATGCCTCCCAGCATTCCCAGATCCATCCCAAACCTATCCCAGACCCATCCCAGCATTCCCAGATCCATCCCAAACCCATTCCCAGACCCGCCCCATCCATCCCTGTATCCCCCTGGATCCACCCCATCATTCCCAGCTCCATCCCAGACCCATTCCCCCCAGATCCCCCTGATCCATCCCAAATTCCCAGCTCCATCCCAGACCCCCCCCATCCACCCCAACCCCCCAGGATCCATCCCAGCATTCCCAGCTCCATCCCAGACCCCCCCCATCCACCCCAGTATCCCCCTGGATCCATCCCAGCATTCCCAGCTCCATCCCAGACCCCCCCCATCCACCCCAGTATCCCCCTGGATCCATCCCAGCATTCCCAGCTCCATCCCAAACCCCCCAGATCCACCCCAGACCCCCCCCACATACATCCCAGTATCCCCCTGGATCCATCCCATCATTCCCAGACCTGTTGCCCCCCCCATCCCCCTGGATCCCCCAGCATTCCCAGATCCATCCCAAACCCATTCCCAGACCCCCCCCATCCATCCCAGTATCCCCCTGGATCCATCCCAAACCCATTCCCAGCTCCACCCCCCAGCCCCCCCCATCCCCCCTGGATCCATCCCAATCCCATTCCCAGCTCCACAGCCCCCCCATCCATCCCTGGATCCCCCAAACCCATTCCCAGCTCCATCCCAGCCCCCCCATCCATCCCTGGATCCATCCCAATCCCATTCCCAGCCCCCCCCCATCCATCCCTGGATCCATCCCAATCCCATTCCCAGCCCCCCCCCATCCATCCCAAACCCATTCCCAGCTCCATCCCAGACCCCCCCCATCCATCCCTGGATCCATCCCAAACCCATTCCCAGCTCCACCCCAGCCCCCCCCCATCCATCCCTGGATCCATCCCAATCCCATTCCCAGCCCCCCCCCCATCCATCCCTGGATCCATCCCAATCCCATTCCCAGCTCCATCCCAGCCCCCCCCCCATTCATCCCTGGATCCATCCCAATCCCATTCCCAGCCCCCCCCCATCCATCCCTGGATCCATCCCAAACCCATTCCCAGCTCCATCCCAGCCCCCCCCCATCCATCCCAGCCCCCCCCCATCCATCCCTGGATCCATCCCAAACCCATTCCCAGCCCCCCCCCCCCCCATCCCATCCATCCCAATCCCATTCCATCCCAATCCCATTCCCAATCCCATTCCCAGCCCCCCCCCCCCATCCATCCCTGGATCCATCCCAATCCCATTCCCAGCCCCCCCCCATCCATCCCTGGATCCATCCCAATCCCATTCCCAGCCCCCCCCCATCCATCCCTGGATCCATCCCAATCCCATTCCCAGCCCCCCCCCATCCATCCCTGGATCCATCCCAATCCCATTCCCAGCCCCCCCCCATCCATCCCTGGATCCATCCCAATCCCATTCCCAGCCCCCCCCATCCATCCATCCCCCAATCCCATTCCCAGGATCCATCCC